GGCGTGGATTTCTTAAACTATTTTTATAGCCTCTTGGTAGGCCCAGGCCCTAAGGCGTGGATTTCTTAAACTATTTTTATAGCCTCTTGGTAGGCCCAGGCCCTAAGGCGTGGATTTCTTAAACTATTTTTATAGCCTCTTGGTAGGCCCAGGCCCTAAGGCGTGGATTTCTTAAACTATTTTTATAGCCTCTTGGTAGGCCCAGGCCCTAAGGCGTGGATTTCTTAAACTATTTTTATAGCCTCTTGGTAGGCCCAGGCCCTAAGGCGTGGATTTCTTAAACTATTTTTATAGCCTCTTGGTAGGCCCAGGCCCTAAGGCGTGGATTTCTTAAACTATTTTTATAGCCTCTTGGTAGGCCCAGGCCCTAAGGCGTGGATTTCTTAAACTATTTTTATAGCCTCTTGGTAGGCCCAGGCCCTAAGGCGTGGATTTCTTAAACTATTTTTATAGCCTCTTGGTAGGCCCAGGCCCTAAGGCGTGGATTTCTTAAACTATTTTTATAGCCTCTTGGTAGGCCCAGGCCCTAAGGCGTGGATTTCTTAAACTATTTTTATAGCCTCTTGGTAGGCCGATTCTCTACGAAAATATAAATTTTCGCGAGGAGCTTCGAAAGACATCTATAAGATCGTATGTAACAAGGTACGAATCATTGTGCTCCATAACAGGGCGCGGTTTAACACATCGGTTCACGAAAAAAAAGTATGAATCATACTTTGAAAAATACAAAAACGTTTTTTAATGATAAATATTAGGCCATATTAAGCCAGAAATATATATAGAAGCCCTCGTATTATTCCGAACATATATTTATAGCCTAGTAAATCAGTAAAATGTTTAGGAAATTATAGCTGCAATGTTTGAAATACCTTGAATCAGTGACATAAGAAGAACAACAAACTTTGTGGGAATTAGTGCGTATACGTGATGCCATTACTTATACGTCCATCTAAAAATTAATAAATTGATTTTCTTCTATGTTATTATCATTTTAAAATGAAGTTTTAAATTTCATTATCTTCCTAATATTTCCACTTACAATACAAATTTCAAAGTAATATTACAAATTTCGGATCAAATCTATTTTTGAAAAAAAAAACATAGTGCCAATTGGTGCGTATACGTGGCGACATTACTTATACGTAAATTTGTAAATTAAAAGAATACCTCTTTTCCACTCCTCTCCCTTTTACAATAATCATTACCTTCCGAATTTCTCTATGTTGATTGCACATGTTAAACTTTCTGTTAAAACTTCTAATAGATTTGTTATTTGAGCTAAGTAAACTTATTCATACGTGATCTCTCCGATAAGTTGTTGTAAACGATTTACTGGAAAAGCCATTCGAAATCATTTTACAAGTTACGTTTTTATACTCTACTATTGTAAATAATGTAAAATCAGGAAAAAAATAACTTTTTTACAATTCGATAAAAAAGGTAGACAGAAAAGCACCTTTGAACGATTAAAATAACAAATGTAACACAAATTCAATGTTCAATGTGTTGCATTACAAGTCCACTTACAACCCTCCCATAAATGTTCGCAAATACACTTGTTTGGCCACACACACACACTCAACGCCAACTATAAATACTTTTGCAATACTTTAACACGTGCCGTGTGAGAATGAAATTAAATGTTTTCTATTGAGTGAGTGTGTGTGCGGCATAAAAGAAAGGAAAGAGGTAGGAATGGAAATCTGTTTGAAAGGTAGTTCAATTTACAGGATATTTTGTAGTTTTATTTGTAGCATTAGGTATGAATAGCTTTATTTCAGGTTTTTTATATTATCTTTTTTTTCTAGGAAGTGTTAGAGTGGAAGAAGAATACCACTACTCTATATGTGATTTTTTTAAAGTTAGTTCGAAAGTTTCTCCATATTTCATGAACTTGGATAGGAAAAGTCGTAACATTTAATATCTGAAAATTCGATTTAAAAATGCAGGGCGGATCTCTTTTCCGTGAATAAATGCTACTAACATGTTGGGCATAATGAATTTTTTTAATGATAATTTTCTTAGACCAAATGGGATTTTCTGAGTAACAATCGGAAAAAAATGAAAATATGCAAATATCGATTTCTTGCCGGTGAAAACTCCATCTCAAATCTTTTGAGGGACATATATTTTACAAATATATTTTTCTTTTGATTTGACTGACGAAATGTCAACTCAAAAATAGCCTGCAATAGCCGCAAACAAAAACATAGTTTTTTCTTCGTGAACTTTAGAGATACCAGCAAAAAAATCTCTCACGCTATAATCCAAAAACTTGACTTATTGGGAATTTGTCCTTATGGAAAGCAACCAAACTCATGTTACGATTTCAATTGGCAACATTACATTATGAATATCAAATATCTTAACATTTTGAATATCAAATTTTCTCAGTTGCCGTCGATAAGACTGTTTTGGCACTTCTTCAACTAGAAATACTGTAAATAAACAAAAAATGAATAAAATATTTCAGAAAAACTATATTTTTTTGATGATGAGAATTATGTTCAAGGTGTGTCATTTATTAGAAGGCATTTAAGAGATAAATCTATTAGAACTACCATCAGTTCTGTGAGTAGATGCTGACGTTTAGAGAAATGTTCAATCAACTGCTCATATTAACTTGAAGGCGTATTTTCGACTACCAAAAGATGCCGTTGTATACATAGTTGAACAGCAATTCCTCCTCTCTTAAAAATGTGTGCCGCTCTGATGTTTTTTGTGGAGGGAAGTTTTCAAAATCCCATAGCAATAACTTCAACCTTGACATGACTCAAACTACAATGTCGGTGTTTTTCGCCGAAGTTATCCGGCTAATAGATGAAAAACTGTGTAAAATTTGGATTGTATCAAAATTAACGGAGGAGAAAAAAGGGAAGAATATTTTTTTTATTCGAAAACAAAGTTCCAGGGTGTTGTCGGATGTATTGATGATACACACGTACATATCATGGACCCAAAAGAAGATGTTCGCCACTTTCTACCATTCATTTGGAATGCGTGTTGGTGGGCCATAGCAGTTAAGATCTTCTGAAATGGCCTTCCACACATCATCGATAGTGGCTATGGTTTGACCAAAAGTCCGCACGCTGCGTGCTACATTTGTGTGAGCTTTCATCCGGGCAATTGCCGAAAAATTCTATTTGAAGCAACTGAAGTTGACAACAGTTGCCATCCATAATTCAAATTTGGCAACTGGCAACACCACTAAACAATGGTTGCCATTCGTAATCGACCCATTAGTATACTAGTCGTAGGCTTTAATCCCCATACAAATAACGGTTTTTTTTACTACTAAGGAACCTCCTTTTTTTGATGTTTTGCGGTTCACTGTTCACTACACCACATTTCTGTTATCTCAAGGGGCGTATACATGTTGTCGATACTCATACGCTAAATAGGTAACTGCTCAAAAAACTTGCAGAACTTCGTACCTATTTTCACAATTAAAATTTTAATAGACGTCAGACGTTCCTACAGAAATTGATTATGAACAAATTGGTTTTGTCAGCATAAGTCTGTTTATATGCGCCATACGACTTTTAGAACTCGATCCGGTGCGAATGCATGCTATCAGTTCATATACGCCACATATTTTCAGAATATCGATCAGCCTCTTGTTCTCCTAAAGAAAATGTGTCATAGTAACAAATATATTGTTACCTACAAAAATATGAAAAACGTGATAATTACGTTAATCTTCATTTAAAGTGTTTTTTGTGTTCTTAATATTCTCCCTTTCATTCCCATAAGAAATTTCCCCCCCAAAAATATATTTGAATAAATGTTTGAATACAGCCTCCATTTAGCTGTTTAACGCATTTTTCAGTGACATTAACTGGAATTCTGTATTCTTAAGGGATAAAAACGGCCTGGTAAAAAAATCTATATCGCTAACATATAAAAGGTCCCACGTCATTTTCAATATGTTGAATGTTCTTACCGAATTTTCCAAGTGATCATTTCCCTGTCTGTAATTTAGCATGAATTTTTTCAGAAGATAGAAAGCCCCTAGGTATACAGTTTTCAAAATTGGTCCATGTTTTGGCACTGCATTTTTCGCAATGTTAATCTTCAATATGATATTTATAGATGACCTGAAGATCATTCGATATTTATAGAATAAGAAAACGTTAATATTTCATTTTTAAATATTTGCCGCCTGTGAAATAATAGAATCGTCAAAAATAATAAATGTGTGCCTTGGTGCGTATAACTATTGCCAACACGTATACGTCAAATACAACTGCCAAAGTTCACTTAGAAATATATACGCGAAAAACCCTATTTTTGGTAATTATTATATTATTTTCTTTAATATTCTGAAGATATTTTTATTGTTTTTTATTTTTATAAAAATTAAATGTATTTACCGCCATGCTCATTATACGGTTAGAGTATCTATTACATATCTACCGGAATATAGGTGTTATTTTTTTAAGTAGGCTAAAACATCCCAGTAGTTATTTGACCAAAACTCTTTTCTCATAGCCGTTAAATAAACGTAAGTAGTGAATCACATTATCATCCCATTTGGTTTACGTCTCCAGTACACCTCTGGATGATTGATCGTTCAAGGCACAATTTTCTCACAGGGAAATCTTTAATCTGATATTTATAGAGGACCTGAAAAATATTCGATATTTATAGAAGTGGAAAACTTAAACATCGTTCAAGGCACAATTTTCTCACAGGGAAATCTTTAATCTGATATTTATAGAGGACCTGAAAAATATTCGATATTTATAGAAGTGGAAAACTTAAATTTCCAAATATTTGCCGCCTGTAAAATAATAGAATCGTCGGAAATAATAATAATTGCGTATAACTATTGTCGGCACGTATACGCATGTAGGTCATAGTGACTTAGGTTAGATTTCTGAACGTAGAAGAATCTAGTTTTGCCATTGCTTCGTCATTATTGTTTTGTATAAAAATTAAAATAACGAATTCATTTTTTGAAAAATATTGTACTTATTATTTTCTTTTCACATTTTCAGGGTGATGGGACCTAAAAGGCGTTTATCTGTTGCTGAGCGACAGCAACGGTCAAATACAACGGCAGCAACAGCAGCGGCATCAACAACAGCAGCAGGAGCCAAGAAACAGCGTCCCGCCACTGGTAGTACTAGTCAATCGCCAGCTTCGCGTAAACCGCCGGCAAAGCCAGCAAATACTGCAGCCCCTGCCGCGACCGTGACATCTGGAACTCCTAGCAAAAAGGACGGCACAAAAACGACATCACCCGCTAAAAAGAATCCAAAAACGACGAGTAGTGGAAAATCCGATTTGGTTGAGTCGTCGTCACCATGCAAAGATTCCGCCAAAGTTGATGAACGTTCGAAAAGCAAGGAAAGACCTAAACCTGAAGAAGAGAAAAAGAGTACCACCAGAGCTTCTTCACGGGAGAACCTTAAGAAATCTGCCCAAGAGAATAATGAGGCAAAATTACACAAAGAAGAATTAAAAAAGGAAGCCGAAAAAGAGAAAGACGATTCACGCAAAGAAGAGCCACAAAGTTCCAATTCTAGTACCATTAGTTCAACGGAATTGCCGGGCAAGAATCAGGACAAAAAGGATGGCAAACACAAGGCCATTAGTAAAATGCTTAAGAATTTAGATATTAAAATAAGTGGCTTCGATAATCTCTTGCCGAAGGAACAAAATATCCAGGAACTGGGTATGAAATCTTCAATATCGGAAAATGTCAAAACTAAATCTCGGGCAGCAGCAGTCAAAGTAATTGCCACCTTGACCAATAATAAACCCTTGAAGAGGCCAAAGGTCAGCGAAGAGGACAAGAGGAAAGCACAAAATTCAAAGTCAAAGGCAGGCGGCAAAGAAGCACAGGGAGAGAAAAGTGGTGGTGTACACGCCGCCAAAGAGTTGGAGAAAAAAGACCAAGAGAAGCAAGAGAAAATTGAAAAGGATTCGGTGGGGGATAGTAAAAAGAAAAAGGCCAGAATGGATAGTCAACAAAAACAAAAGAAGTCAGTTGTGATCAACGAACAAAAGGAGGATAAAGATCAACCAATGGAAATGAAAGAGAAGGAAATAAAAGAGAAAATCCAGTCTCGGGATGCAACAGAAGAGAGTAAAGTTGATGAAAAGGAAGTAAAGGAACCTGAGGAAGTCAAGGAAAACAAGTTATCCGAAGAAGTAAAGGAAGACCTTAAAACTGAAAAGAATGTGAAAGAAAAGGTGGAAGATGAAGAAATGAAAAAGAAAGAGGAGTCTATAAACGATAAAAAGGAAGGAGAAAAACCAAGTGAAAATAAAGATGAATCTCAAGACGCAAAGTTGGAGAATCTCAAGAAACGAAAATCTCCCAAACATAAGAGTCCAGAAAAACAAGAACCTCTCAAGGAGGACCTAGAACAAATACTCGAAAAAGAAAAGGAAGAGAAGATAAAAGAAGAGGAGTTAAAGGGAGAAAAGCTAAGGGAAGGTAAGTCAAAAGAGGAAGATCTTAAAGAAGATACTACAACCGAAGAGAAGGTTAAAACTCCCAGTAAATCTCCCAAAAAGTCACCCGGTATCTCAAAGCCACCGGTGACGACCGGTGAGCAATCCGATCCTGCGAACAAAACAAAGTGCAATAAATTAGACGAATTATATGAAGAAAAAGATGAAATACTCAAAGTAACCATAGACTCAAATACTGAAGTGGTTCAAATGGAAATCGAAGAGATTGCCGTAGAGAAACAGACCCTTAAAAAGGACAACACATGTGGAGAGGCAGCAAAAGAGCAACCCAAAGAGGAGGTAGTGGAAGCTCCGCCACAGGATAGTATTTCAAAACCGGAGACATCTCCTAAAGAGGAAACCCAGCGCCCAAGTTCTGCCACTCTGCCGAAGCCTGTCAAACCTCTGCCTCCGAAGATGGGTAACTTGAAACAGAGATTACAGCCGAAATACAAAGTTAATCCGATTAAGCCGAAAATACCCAAAGCGGTTACGAAAAAATCACAACTCTCCAAAATAATGGCGGCCAAGGCAAAGACGGCCGATAAAGAAGCTAACGCCAAGGATGATGATATTTATGCCTTTAAGTCGGGATCAGAGGACGAAGAGAACATACGCATGGAACTGCCCACATTGAAAAATCTCTTGGAATTCTCAGAGGAAGAGAAAAAATCGGAGAAAAATGCTACACACAAAAAGGAGATTGGCAAATTTTCATCGCTCAAAGAAAAGGGTAAAATGGAAGAGGAGAAGGTGGAGGAGAAAATGGAAGATAAGGAAACGCACAAGGCTTTGGAAAATAAAGAAGAAGAAGATATTCCCAAAGAACCGGAACAAGTTCCAGAACAAATTGAAGAGATTAAGGAAGACCTAGAAACAAAGGAAAAGAGTGAAGAGGAGGAGGAGGAAGAAGAAGAAAGCAAGCAAAATATAAACAAAAGAAAACCTAAAAAGGAATTGGGAAAAAAGAAAACCATTGCCATGAACAAGAAACTCATGTCCGCCAAGGTCAAGAATCTCCAAAAACAAAAGAATTTAAAAACTGCCAGCCGGCCCAGAAAAACAAATCTCGCAAAGAAATCGGAAAAGTCCGCAAAGAATGCCAATTCAGACGAGGTGGCAGAGAGCAGTGATTCTGAGGATGATAAAAATTTAATTGTCTTTAGTCAAAAACGTCATCGCATGGCCTCGTTAAATGCCCTGGCCAAGGTCCAGTGTTTGTATGAAAATGAATCACGGACAGCCTATGAATTGGGTCTATCCAAGGCCACCTTAATGCCGCCAAAAATACGTACCCTCGATAACAGTGATGAGGAAAAGGACAAGGAGAAAAGAGAAAAGGAAGAAGTTATAAAGAAAGATAAAGAAAGCGAAAAAGAGAAGGACAAAGAAAAGGAAAAAGAAAAACCCAAGGAGCCTTCAACCAGTTCCACACAAAAACCCGAAGAGAAACCCAAAGCCACCAAGAAGGAGAAAAAACAAGAAGATCCTTCAAAAGTGGAGGAAACCCCCAAAACAGAAAAAGAACCTCCCGAACCTGCCATAGAAGAACCCGTGGGAGAATTGAAACGGGAACAACGCAACGATGCCGGTGGACGTGGCTTTGGTAAATATTGGGAATTTGATAGTGACAGTGAGCTGGATGAAATCGAACAGATGCGTATCAAAAAGAAAAAGTTACAAAAACGTTTGCAGGCAAAGAAAGAGAAAGAAATGGAAAAACAATTGAAAGCCAAGGGCAAGAACGAAACCGATCCGGAAGCCACGCCCATTAAAGTCAAACGTAAATATAATAAAATTAAGAAACCGCTCAAGAAAATGGTCAAACTAAGTACGGGTAGCTCTGCTGAGGAAGGTAATTCAGAATCCTCCGATAAGGAAGATGGAAGTCCAGAAAAAGAAAAATCCGCCAAACTCAAGCTACCCGAAGCTAAGAAGCCGCCCAAGAAACGAAAGAGAATTTTCAAAGAAGAACTGATTGGCGATTATAAAGGTATATTGGCCCGGAAGCGTATGGCCAGTTTAAATGCCAGTGCCATCGTGGCGGCCACCTATGAAGTGGAACGGCATTTGGATAGGAATTTGGGCCAGCTAAGTGGTTATGAGACCTATGAAGATGAACAAAAGACGCCAAGTAAGAAGTCTAAGGAAGCGAAGGGCAAGGAGGGCAAGACGGCTAAATTACCCAGTAATACAACTTCGGCTACAGTCACTACCGTAACATCACCTTGTAAAGCTAGTACTCCGGTTACCAGTACCACCACAACATCCTCAACGGAAGTGGCAAAGACAACAGTCACAGCCACATCCTCGAGTGCAGCATCACGGAACACTCCCATCTCAAAGGAGACAACAAACATTGCAATTGAAACTCCAGCAACCACCACAACGCCCTCGACTACCACTAACGCCGCAACAAGTCCATTGAAATCTTCTATTACCACAGAAACAAAATCTTCCACAACCACCACTCCTAATACTCCTACAAAATTGGAAAAACAACAACAACAACCGCAGCCACAGCAACCCACAAATATCTGTGAAGAAAGCAATGATTCCAAGTATTCCAAAGATACCAAAGAAACAAATACGGATACTACGACCACGACAACATCCAGTTCTTCGGGTAGTAGTACCACCACAAGCAGTACTAAGGAGGCCAAGGATTCAAGTCGTCCCACTTCATCAAGTGTGGTGATAGTCCAAGATACAGATGTTACCATTACCGGTGTCTATGTCAATTCAAGTTCTGGTGCCGGCCAAGAGGCCTATTGTAAAATGCAATATCGTGTTCAGTCCAGTGTTACCGAGGAACGTTTGCTACGGCCAGGTTCAACCGAACCACCACCAAAATCCTATACTCCATTGAGTGCTTTGTCTAGTATGCTGCCACCGGGGGCTGCTGGTAGTAGTGTTAGTGAAGGTAAGTGTCTTAACTCTTAGTTTTGATTGAATATTTTTATTATTTTCCTGTTGGGCGCCAGAAAGGTAAATAAAGAGTTGGTCGCCAATGAACTTACGCAATTATCCGTAAGGAATGGCAATAAAAATTCGAATACTGAATAATAATTGTCATAAGTAAAGACGTCATTGCATGATCTCTTTGAATACATTGGCCAAGGTCCAGGGTTTGTACGAAAATGAATTACGGACAGCCTACGAATTGGGTTTATCTAAGGCCGAAGATCCGAACCCTTTAGACACCTATAAATTCTTAGTTGACGCCACTGAAATAACCCGATATCTATTTAGATCGGATTTTGTTTATAATAACTTCAATACTCCGTTGGGCGCCAAAATATATTTCCAACTTTGAGACATTGTATTGATCCGATTCTTGCTAATATGTGAAATAGCGTTGATTTAAAAATGTTTACACCGCAAAATTTAATGGTTGAGTTATTGTGTGGGACACTGGAAAATCATACAATAATTAATCCCTAGAATTTATATGAAAGAAACCCTAAGTTGGGCTCACTGAAACAATACGATATTTTAGGTTAGCATATTTCGAACAACTTTGGTCCTTCGTTGGGTGCTACAGGAAGAAAAATAACTGCTCTCCAATAGGAAGGAAAATACCTGCAGCTCTTCCACAGGAAGAAAAATACTTGCAGATGTTCTAGAGGAAGAAGCTCTTCCACAGGAAGAAGATTGTAGCTCTTCCACAGAATGAGAAATACTTGCAGCTCTCCTATAGGAATATTCTTCTTCCCCAGCTTTCCTATAGTTTGATAGAATTTTTGATCTGAAATGATCTTGTTTTAACCCTACGGCCAATAACCAAAAAAGTATACGTAGATCAATAACCGTGGTACATTTGTACCCATCCAAAGATAGCTCTGTAACTCATTAAAAAATTGGACTATCGTGAGGTTTTTTGTTTTAAATTAGTCTATATGGGTCTGATCTAGATGTAGGAACTCAAAATTATATATACATTAAAATAGTATATATTTAAATCCATGCTTAAATGATAATCTATCTAAAACAATCATAATAAATTCGTTATAGCTTTCGAATGGGTTAAGCTTTTTCTTTATTTTTTTATTGGGATCTTATTTAGGTGTTCCTCAACCCCTCTGCAAATTTTTGTGGCCCTAGGCAAAATGGGGCCATCAGGGCGACTCGTGGAAATCAGAAACTACCTTCCTCACGATAGTCCAATTTTTTAATGAGTTACAGAGCTATCTTTGGATGGGTACAAATGTACCACGGTTATTGATCTAATCTGTTGGACGCCAGAAAATGTAGTATGTTCGGCCTTTCTTAAATCGTCTCCTATCCATTTCGGTTTAAAATCTAATTTTCGAAACCGTTGGGCGCCACTGGAATGATCCGATATTTATTTGGATTTGGAAAATTATAATAGATTCTCTTGTCAGGAAATATGTAAATATTATTACAAGCTCAATGTTGGGCGCCACTGGACGGATTCGATATCCGATTTGGTCTAAAATTTTACTATTAATCTTCTTGTTGGGTGCTAATAAACGTAAAAGGTTGTTCCGTAAGTTCGTTTCAATTGGATGAGAAAAATTTAATCTTGGGTGCTACTATCTGTCGGAAATCGGAAATCGGAAATCTTATGTTCGAATAACTTTGTTGTTATTTTTTAACTACCCTATTGGGCGCCACTGGAAGAAAAATCGTTCAAAACTATTCATTGTGTCGTAAGTATTGAGAATTGTTACGCACACTTCGGCGCTATTATATTTATATTAGAAAACGATTGGGTCTTCAAATTGTTTAAGTCTCCTTAGATCAACTTCCTTTTTTATCTAAAATCTTACATTCTATATTTCGTTGGTCGCCAATGAACGTAATTGATCCATTTAGTCTAAAATACTTTTGTCGCATAGAATTAAGCTGACATTTCAAGCTCTGAATGGAGAATTTTTACCAACATTTAGATCTGATAGTCCAATTAGAGTTGCTGGATATTTTGGATTTGATGTTGTATCCATTGGGCGCCAGAAAATCGCTCGAATAACTTAATCTGATTTTTTTTTGTCGAATAGCTGTTTCACATAGACCTCATTTACTGATGTTGAGCGCCAAATAAACTTAAATTAATTGCTTTGCTGGGAAACTCCAAACTCCGCTGATTGTGTATTGTACATGACTGGATCATTTTGGCCTTGATGTTTAATCCATTGGGCGCCAGGAAATCACTTGAATAACTTAATCCGAAATTGTGTGTCGAAATCCAATTGTCGAATTGCTATTTCACATAGACCTTCTCAATTACTGATGCTGAGCGTCAAATAAAGTTAGATTGATTACTTTGCCGAGGACCACCACGTTGGGCGCCACTGTTCCGTTGAGTAATTATTTATTGATATGATTGTATCATTTTGACGATTAACTTCTGATATTGAGAGAGTTTGATGTTTCTAGGAGTTTAAAAATAACCAAAATTCGAACCAAATTATCCCGAAAAAAAACTTTGACTTATGGCGACTTTGCGATGTAGAATTAACCTCCTTTGTACTATAGTCACTACTTAATGAAAATTTGATTTATCGAAGTTAGGCTGCATTTTAAAAGTCGCAAAGGGCGATACAAATTGACTGTCTGGCGCCCACTTTTTAGTATTTTTTGCTAGAAAGTGTAATTACCAAATCAAGTTATTATCTTTAAATGTGAAATTGTGTTATTTACTTCTGATTCTGACAGTGATTTTTAATTTTTAATTCCCTTTTGAATGCCAAAAATGGTTCCGTAGCTTCAGGGAGAATAAAAATCTGATTTGGCGCCCAACAGAATTCCAAACTATTAAACAGCTTCCAAATCGAAATGAAATTACAACATTTAAATGTTTTCCAATTATAAATTAGTCGAATCCAATTAATTCAGTGGCTTCTAATACAGAGCCCCTCAAATTACAAGAACCCATTGGCGCCCAACAAGGGGTTTCTATGACCATAAGGTTATTTGATATATATTTAGACACCCGGCTTTGATTTCATTAACGAAATTTCATTATTAACGAACATAAAGTATTAACTTTAACTATCCACTTTCTTACCTGTCTATCCTTCTCCCAGCCCCTCGTCCTTTTCTCTACCTCCTCTCCCAATTTTATGGGCCTAAGGAAGTTTCCATTCCCTAAAATATCTCTTACGCATAGATATCGCAAAAAAAATTAATGGCGCCAACGTTTTATTATGAAAAGATTTTGTTAAAATAGCACAATAATATAATTTTCCTAAATTTCCCAATCACCTCATTCTTCTTCCTCAAGGTACTCCCATCGTTTCACCGCCACCCACAACTGCAACATCACAAACCACTTCGGCTTCCTCGTTATCGGAAACACTCAATGCCGCCGCCGGTCTTTACAATCCTGCCGACTTGGGCATACACACTGAACCCTTGGAACATCATGGACCACCACCACCTTCCTATGCAGCGGCAGCAGCTGCTGCGGCGGCTGCCTATCATGCCCATCATATGTCACCACATGGTGCTGCCGGGGTACATCATCAGCATCAATATGCTCATGTACATGCCCATCATCAATATCAACAGGCTGGTGCGGAGCATCATGGTATGCCACCACCTCCGCATCATTATGCTGCAGGACCGCCGCCTCCGCCTCCATCACATTATGGCCCACCACCACCGGGTCATTGTGATCCGGGTTCGCCACCACCCACATATAGGGCAAGTAGTGGATATCCGAGTAGTGCAACAGGTATTGCACCGGCAGCAGCACCACCACCTTCGGTTCAGCCTCCGTTATCGGCTGGTTTGGGTGGTAGTGCATTCTGTTCGACAAATATACATCATCAACAGCAGCAGCAGCAACAACAGTCACAGCAGCAGCAACATCAACAAGCACAACATCAGGCACAAACTGCAGCAGCAGCAGCACAACATCAACAAGGATCTCAGAGCACAACAAATGAAACAAGTGGTAAGTACAGACAATAACACAACAACAACATGCTTAAATATTTATGAATCATGTTTCACTTAGTTAGACCATGGCCAGTTTCATCCTTTAAAAGGATAATGTATGTTAATGATAAGGTATACGATTTCATTCTTAGGAACGGATTTTGCTTTCTTCAATTAAAATAATCTGTGTTTGCATCCTTCGTTTCTTCCTCTACATTCAGATATTCTGCAGTGTCCAGCAGACTAGTTTCTTAATCACGTATGCCTTCCTCCACCTCCTGGATTGTCTCGTTTTACATCCCGAATCCTTCTTCGAAATAAAATAAATAATTCATTATCAGTTAATTGATGTATTACCTCTCATTGTCACTTGAGACTCCTTATGTTCTGTTTGGAATAATCTACAAAGTAAATGCATTTTAATCATTCTTATCGATGTCCTGCATAATTGATTTCATATTAACACTGTTGATTCCTTGAGGAAGTTGTAAGATTTTAATTTGGACTGATAAATCAACTTTATGAAAGAAGGGTGAAATGCACGAAAAGGCTGCTAGGGTATTTTTTCTAAGGCATATCTCAAAGGTTCTCCAGGGAATAAAAAAGAAGTCAATGGGTGCCAAGTCAGGCTTATACAGCGGATTAAAAATGTGATGGTTTGAGCCTAAGTTCGTTTTTTTAATTTTTCCGGACGACATTAGGCAAACAAATTGTGGTACACCACTCAGAATATGACAGCTTTGTTCCCCTCGTAGAGCCACTCATTTGATTGCGCTTTTGTTTCGGGGTCATGGGTGTTTAAAAAAAACATAGGCTCAAGAAGGCTTCAACCTCACATGAAAATATCTTTTCTGAAGCGGTTCGACATTTTTTCGGTTCGCTCCACTAAATGACTTCAGTTTCATATGCTCTTTTAGTTCACGATGGAATGACGGGAACTAGGAGAGTGGTGGTAAAAACGAAGAGGGAAGAAAAAAGGAAAATGATTGGAACAAACGCAGTATATGAACAAAAGAACAGGAACTAGTACCGGTTGTCCCTTTTGCGATATAGTTCCTTTGAACTAGTTCGATTCGGAATGATCCAATGCTAGTGCTTTTTTTCTATTCAAAAAATACCTTAAAGGGCCTTTTGTTCGTGGTAGACCTCAAGCGTCTTCTATTCATAGAAGATCTCTAATCTGTGAATACCACAAAGGGGGAGATCAAAGAATTTCCAACTATCCACGGAGGACCTGAAATAATTTTCTAAAAGACCTCTAAGTGTCTCAAATCCTTAGAGAAGCTCGAAGGGGGTTCCAATCGTTGGCGACCTCCTTGAAGACAAAATTGTTTGTTTATCTATCCATTTAGGACCTCAAAGGGTTTTCTATTCATAGAAGGCCTCAATAGTTGTCAAATCCTTAGAAGACTGGTAGAAGGCCCCCTTTATCGATACATAGCAGACTGCAAGCGTCTTCTACTCATAAAATATTTCAAAGGGTCTTCTAATTTGAGAATACCTCAAAGGGAATACCATAGAAGATCTAGATCCTTCTTTACACGCCTGGTTTGGGTAGTCTTATATACCATATGATGGTTGTGATGATTGTCCCTGAAGCACCCGAGCAGGTACTCCTACGAAAGCATATAGCTATGCTGACGTAAGGGAAGGATCTTCGTCTCCTCATGAAGATGGCCCACTGGTGTCATTAGGAGGCACCCTGTCGCAGTCCTCAGCGCGGCGTTCTGACAGGTGTGAATACGTCTCCTATAGGTATCACTAGTATTCGCAGATCACACTGGAACCGCATAGCTAGCCACAGACCGACTTATCGCTTTGTAAGAGATCAACAATATTTCCTTATCTGCGTCCCAAGTGTAGCCGGCAAGCTTACTCGAGGACCTTGTTCTTAATTTCAACTTATCGCAGAACATGCTGTCAAATGTGATCCCCGAGTATTTTTGCTTAGTTGGTGGTCGCAATTGTAATGCCCCTCGACCTGCACATTCAATGGCATTCTCATCCCGGAGATATCACTCAGCCCTAAGGAACTTCCTGCTTCACTCAACGGGGTTTGGACTTCTTATTCCGGAACTCCACGTACGACTGGCGTCCACACATTTAATTGACTATACAATGTTTCAAACTCGGCCGGAGAGGAAGTGCTCTCGATGTCCTCAAATAGTGTGGCATGATTGACGGTATCAAAAGTTTTTGATAGGTCAAGCGCTACCAACACTGTTCTATCGCACAGCCGGTTCTGGTTAAGTCCTTGACTTATATTTGTGGAGATGGCGTGCAACGATATAGTTGTACTGTGTTGCTTACGGAATCCATGTTGAGATTAGCAACAGGATAGCTTTCTCTAATGCTGGGGACGAGTAATGCCTCAAGGGCCTTCGCTACTGGCGACAAAAGTGAAATCGGCCTGTAAGATCATATTCACATTTGCTGGCATCCTTGCCTGGCTTCAGTAGCGGGACCACCCTGCCCATTATCCAGGCTTCAGGAACGACGTGGGTGGTATCGGCAAATTGAAGACGTTGTTCAAGTACTCGACTCCTGGCTCGTCCAGCTGCTTCAGCATATACATGGATATTCAGTTAGGGTACAACGCTTTGGATGACTTCGCGTTACGGATGACACATGTAACATCATCCATCGTCAACTGTGGTGGTATCTCCTCGGCGGGAAGAGATCTTATACCACGTAGTACTCTTCGCTTCGCGCTCTCGCTCTCGGGATGCTCGAAAAATTGTCGGTTAATATAACACGCACATCTCTTCGGATCAGTCACAGTTTCTTCGTCAAATGTGACTTAACCCTTGCCAACAGTTGTTTTACAACGATACTGATATTGCAACTCTCCAGGTGCTCCAACCATTTATTCCTCTTATGCTCCACGACTAATCTGCTGACCCTCCAACGTAAGTTCCTTGACCCTGCAGAAATTATTTTATCTTAGGAGAGCCTGCATAGAACCCAAGAAGGTCTCTTAGAATATATTCTATTGTCGACTTTTTAAGAGAGTTTCTATCCGTAGAAGATCCCATATGAAAGCTTTACAGAAGGTCTTAAAACCTTCTATATACATAGAAGAACCTCGCATGGTGTTTTATCAAAGAGGATCTGTTAGGGAGGTCTTATTGTAGAAGTTCTAGTTTTGTTTAGACTTCTGGCTGTAGAGAGATCTGTCTTATATCCAGTAGAGATACCGTTAATAGGAATCTAAGGACTTTTAATCCATAGAAGATCCCAAAGGATATTCTATATATATATACAATTTTTACATAGGGGACAACACTATGTCTTCGAGGGTATCTCAATGATATTATTTCCGCAAAGAAGTTAATATAATTTTCGAATTCTATTTAAAAAATTTTTATTAATCTCTCCATTTAAACCTTTCCAATTAAAATCCATTTTTCATTTTAATAAATCCATTTTTATAACAACTTTAACCAGCCACACAAGTAAAGAAAATATTTGAAATACTTTCACGGACAAAGGAACAGCCTTTTGGCAAAGTTTTTGTTGCTGTTTCTTCTACTAAATGCCACAATGAATGAATCTTCGGCGTTTAGTCTTTGACCCCCGCACACACCCACAATCAGCAATAATGGAGAAAAGTTTTCATTGAAATAACCCAAAGATCTTTTACAAAATAAAAAAAGAATTTTTTGATATGTTCGTGTGAAGAAGAGTGTGTGGGCGGGTGCAAGTGTGCGTGTATGTGTGTTTTCATAAAGTATTGAAATAATAAAAAGTTTCTTCATTTCATTGTTTGAATTCAATAATTCTCTGCCGGATATTCTTCTCCCATCCCCTGAAGAAAAAAAATTAACTTTAGTTTTAAGATGCCAGTTAAGACACTTACCCATACACATGTATCAGTAGCTGTGTGTGTTTGTCTGTTTCTTTATTCTTTGTCTTCTCTCTTGTGGTTCTCTCGGGGGAGATTAGTTTTGAAAAACTAAAATTGCCATCATTAAATGAAGTATAAGGGTTCAAGTCACAGTCAATTATAAGGACTCTCTGTCTTTAAAGAACTGAAAAGTAAATACGAAAGAAAAACTTTGAACTTTTGATTATCGAATAATTCAATAGAAGTTTTCTTGGGGGAGGGCGGTCAGGGACTTGGTATATATATATGTTGACCAAGAAACCATAACTTTGAATTATTGCAATTATTGGCTGTCAGGATAATGAACATTTTAATAAATTAGTTTAAAATTATTTAAGAAAATAATTGTTTTAATAACACTGTAGAAACTGTCAAAGGCTCCATATGTTAAGTTTCGGAGTTATTTGTAATTTTAGGTTCTTAATGTATACGCCCAGAACTTTAATTTCCATACAGATTTTTTACACTTTGCGGACCATGATTTCGATTTTGTTTGCTACATATCAAAGTGTATATACCCCATTAGCCATAAGGCTGAGGGTATAAAAGAAAAAAGGGACATTTGCTTTTGCTCGTCTTCGAAGACCACACAGTCGGGTCATATGCATAGCGCAATGATTCATCATTCTTTTATACAATTTGCCATAATGTGGTATTTATATCAAAAAACCTCGAAATATTCACAGCAGATCCCATATATTCTATGTTGATTAATGCATGTCCGTCCGGTGTTGTTGTTTTATACTGCTGTTTAGCAGAACCAAATGCTTCTAACTCCAGTTTCAAGAAAGCGTTCTGCTTCTAGCGTGTCATGTGGACCATTCACACGCCGAGCAGATATTGTCCACCGTGCCATAAATTCGAGCCCAATATGAATTGAAGTACCATATGATGGTTTGGATGTCTCAATAACACCCGAGCAGATATTACATCAACAACATCTTGTTGTCGGATCTCTTCAGGGGGATCTC